AAAAGAAAGTGAATCCTGGGGAGCCTGGGTGGCTCAGTCGGTTAAGCGTCTGACTTTCGCTTAGGTCATGATCTCGCGGTCCGTGGGTTCCAGCCCCGCGTCGGGCTCTGTGCTGACTGCCAGCTCAGAGCCTGGAGCCTATTTCAGAGTCTGTGACTCCCTCTCTCTCTGACCTTCCCCTGCTCACGCTGTCTCTCTCTCTCTCTCCTAGAAATAAATAAAAAATATTAAAAAAAGAAAAAGTGAATCCTATGCTCCAAAATCCTTTGGGAAGGGAGGGGGAGAAGTAGATGAAAAATGCAGGTGAAATAATATCAGCCGCGATTTGGTAATTATTGAAGCTGGTGGGTACATGGCGGCTCATAATGCTGCTCTATTTGCATCTAGGTAAGTTTTCCACAAGAAAGAAAACCAGGCAGGGAGGCAGGCAGGCAGTGGGGAGTGTGCCTCCCAGAATACAGTGGTGTCTACTCATTTCAGTGTATCACAGTTTCGGCGTCCATTCTCCCGGTGACGGACATTCAAGGTTTCCAGGCTTCCACTGCATGAGCAGCCTGGCTGTGAGCATCGGTGAGAGCACTCGGCTCCCAGTGCACGTGTGCGTGTCCCTCTGGGATGACACCCCCAGGGGCCACCGCTGGGTCACAGGGGATGCATGCGGTTCACTGGGTAACGCAAAGTGCGGTTCAAAGTGATCATACTAATTTACAACCTTAGCACACACCCTAGAAGGGTTATAATGTTACCAGTGAATTCTCTCTGGGGAAAGGATGTCGAAGCGCTTAGCGCCGCCGCCACCAGCGTCCTGTGAGAAGACGCCGAGTGTGTCGCGGCGGCCTCCCCACTCCCCTCACCTCCAGGCACCGTTGACCACCTCCAGCTCCAGAACCGTCTGCAGACGCTGGCACCGCTTGGCCTCCAGGGCGACGCTCACCATGCACTCCCCCAGAGCATGAATCTGGCCGCTCGAGGGCTCCATGTCGAAGGGAGACACCTAATTCAGAGGGTGGCGCAGAGGGATGAGGGGTGAGCGCACTTGGGGGTGCAGAGCTGCCGGCTTTCCTGTCCTGCCGGAGACCGGGAGGCTGACCCAGGGGCCCCGTGTTCGCCCCGCCTCATGAGGGAGGCACTGCATGTGGGAAGGTCGCACCCAGGAGGCCGCTCTCCCTCTTGGGAAGGAACAGTGCCTGAGAAAGGGAATGGCCGCAGCAGGCAAGATGCACATGTGGCCGCACCCGCCTGTCCCCTGTCTTCTGTCCTAGGCTTCTGGATATGGAGGAGGAGGGGCAACGTTCTGACCCAGAGGGCGAGGGGGCAGGCAAGAGGGGATCTTGGCAGGAAGCAGTCAGAGGGAGGGTGCTTGCACCACGCAGACCCTGTCGGAGCCTCACAGGGACAACGGGGACCTAAAGCAGCTTCTAAGAAGCCCCGGCTGCCACTGTGTGAAGAGTGGGGGTGACCCGCGGTGATTTACAGCTCGTCCCTGGCAGGGAGGGAGGAACTGAAGTTTTGTGCCTCTTGCTCTGATTGCACATTGTGTTTAAAGGTGGTGACAGGGGCGCCGGGGTAGCTCAGTCGGTTAAGCAACCGACCTGAGTTTCAGTTCAGGTCATGATCTCACGGGTTGGGAGTCTGAGCCCCAAGTGGGTCACAGTGCGGAGCCTGCTTGGATTTCAGAGTAAAGGTGATGATGATAATACTTAATCACCTTTAGGATCTTCTATTTTTACAAGAACAAGGAAAGGGCTATTTGAGTGGAATCGAATCCTGTATTCTTTCTTGGAGCCCTTTCGTTTGGGCCACAGGCCCATGCCCGAGCGCCACCTGGTGGCCGGCACTCCAACTGCACGCACGATCCCTGGGAGGTTTGGAACTTTTGGGGTGAGCCCCTCCCGCCTGCACCTTCCTAGAGGCCTGGGAGCTTCCCGCGCAGCCCAGCTGCCCGTTGCTTCCTAACTCAAGCTGCCTTTTTTTTTTTTTTATGTTTGTTTACTTTGAGAGCGCGAGCGAGCAAGCAGAGGAAGCGCAGAGAGAGTGAATCGCAAACAGGCTCCCTTCCGGCAGCACACAGCCCGACGCAGGGCTTGAACTCACGGTTAAATCATGACCTGAGCTGAAACCGGGAGTCAGGTGCTTAACTGACCGAGCCACCCAGGCGCCCCCGGGCTGTTTCAACAGAGGGAAAAAGTCTTGTCCTATTTCCACATGAGATGGTAGAGGCAGGACAGGAAAACCCAGTTCAGGATTCGGTCCTGCTGGAGCGAGGCCCCGAGTGCTCGGAGAAGGGGGCACCGGGCACGCTGCCAGGCGGAGTCACCAGGCGGGCTCTTCCTCTGCACCAGTACCGGCCTCACTATCGCTACACCAGGGGTGGGCAGGCTCGTGGGGGCGGGGAGGGCCCACTCAGTGTCCCGCCTCCCGTGGGGGCGGGGAGGGGCCCACTCAGTGTCCCGCCTCCCGTGGGGGCGGGGAGGGGCCCACTCAGTGTCCCGCCTCCCGTGGGGGCGGGGAGGGGCCCACTCAGTGTCCCGCCTCCCGTGGGGGCGGGGAGGGGCCCACTCAGTGTCCCGCCTCCCGTGGGGGCGGGGAGGGGCCCACTCAGTGTCCCGCCTCCCGTGGGGGCGGGGAGGGGCCCACTCAGTGTCCCGCCTCCCGTGGGGGCGGGGAGGGGCCCACTCAGTGTCCCGCCTCCCGTGGGGGCGGGGAGGGGCCCACTCAGTGTCCCGCCTCCCGTGGGGGCGGGGAGGGGCCCACTCAGTGTCCCGCCTCCCGTGGGGGCGGGGAGGGGCCCACTCAGTGTCCCGCCTCCCGTGGGGGCGGGGAGGGGCCCACTCAGTGTCCCGCCTCCCGTGGGGGCGGGGAGGGGCCCACTCAGTGTCCCGCCTCCCGTGGGGGCGGGGAGGGGCCCACTCAGTGTCCCGCCTCCCGTGGGGGCGGGGAGGGGCCCACTCAGTGTCCCGCCTCCCGTGGGGGCGGGGAGGGGCCCACTCAGTGTCCCGCCTCCCGTGGGGGCGGGGAGGGGCCCACTCAGTGTCCCGCCTCCCGTGGGGGCGGGGAGGGGCCCACTCAGTGTCCCGCCTCCCGTGGGGGCGGGGAGGGGCCCACTCAGTGTCCCGCCTCCCGTGGGGGCGGGGAGGGGCCCACTCAGTGTCCCGCCTCCCGTGGGGGCGGGGAGGGGCCCACTCAGTGTCCCGCCTCCCGTGGGGGCGGGGAGGGGCCCACTCAGTGTCCCGCCTCCCGTGGGGGTGGGGCGGGCGCACTCACCGCCTCCCCCCTCTCCCGGAGGCACGCCGGGCTCTCCCTCAGGCACCACGTGGCGGGGAGCTGGCTGGGGTTCCGGATGTGGAGGCCGAGGGCGGCCCTCTGCCCCGGGCGCAGCAGGCCAAACTGAAGGGCTGAGGCGCTGAGGACGAGCGTGGGCCCCTGAGACGCCGGGAGGGGCCCGTCACTGGGCGCCGGGATGGGCTCTGCGCCCTACCCCTCCCTTCCGGCCCACGCTGCTGCCCGGCCCCCAAAACAGCACCTTGAAGGCCGCCTCGATGTGTAACACCACCGGGGAGGGCGAGTTTTGGATCTCACACAGCAGGTCCTGGCTTGTTGGGCCGGGGGCCCCGCCGGTGAAGCTCAGCTCAAAATCCTCCACCTCGCTGGGCTCTGGGAGACACGGAGGGTGCGCCGGGCCCTCACTGACGTCCCCACCACGTGCACCGCACGGGCTGACCTCGGGGCTCCACCCCCCGGAATCCCTGCACAGGCCCCGGGAGGCCCCGCACTACCTATGGTCCCCGCGCAGGGCTCCACCTCGATGACGTGGCAGTCACTGACCTTCCCCCACTGGTACCTGAGGGCCGACCTGCTGTTGCTCCACATCTGCAAGACAAGGCCGTCCAGCTCCCCGGGCGCCGGCCTGCCCCCGACCCTCCCCCGGCGCGCCCGGCCCCGTGCCGAGGCCCGTCCCCCGCCCCCGTGCCCAGGCCCCCCGCCCCACCCCGTGCCCAGGTCCCCCGCCCCCCGTGCCCAGGTCCCCCAGGCCACACCTGCCTTAAAATGCTTTTTCACGTTCGTGCCCACGTAGCTCTCCCCGGGCAGCACCAGGACGTAGGGCTCTAAGAGAACCCGGAAGGGCTCCGCGGAGCCCTTCACCTCCACCTCCAGCGCAATCACGTCATCCGCCGCGGAGGAGGGGTCCTTCCGGTTTTCCAGGTCCGAGCTGGACACAAACCCGCGTGAGCTGGGGGCCCGCGTGGCGCCCTGGCGCAGAGAAAGCGCTGCCCCCGCCGCAGCCACGAGGCCCCTCGGCTCACAGCGCGGCGGCCTCCCTCTGGGCTGGAACCGCGGCCGTAGGGCGCCCGGCCCGGGGTCGCCCCAGGAGGCCCACCCGAGGCCCGCCCGACAGCCTGCCCAGGGCAGGGTCCCCGCGGCCCCCGCCGCCCCGCGCAGGCCCCCAACCTGTCTGCCCGGGCCGGGCCGAGTGGAGCCCAGCGCTGCCCCCGGCTGCTGGCCCTCCCCCGGCGGGGGCACCAGGGCGCCAGGGCAAGGCCTGCTGGGGGCCGGGCTCCTCCGCCCCTTCCCGCCACCCACCCCTCGTGCGGCCCGTCCCTGCTCACGTCACGGGCTCCGGGACGTCCTCCAGCACCATCTGGAGCACACTGTGAAAATCCCGGAGCTGCAGGGCAAACACAGCGCCCTGAGGACCAGGGGCACCCACTCAGGCTGCCCCGGAGATGCCTTCCCCTTCCTTTCCCGCCGGGCCCGCTGCCACAGAGGCCTTCCGGAAAACACAGTGCTGCTTCCCTGCTGCCCACCCCCATCTGCTACCTCCCCCCGACCTGTTACCTCCACCCCCACCTGCTACCTCATCCCCACCCCAACTGCTACCTGCACCCCCACCCTACCTGCTACCCCCCCACCTTATACCTCCCCTCACCCTACCTGCTATCCCCCCACCTTATATCTCCCCCCCACGCTACCTGCTACACCCCCCACCTAGGGAAAGAGGGGTGGCCTGCCAGGGTGGGAGCCAGGACTCAGGGGGCCCCCGCAGACTCAGGCCTCAGCTGGGCCTGAGCGGGCCGGAGGGGAAGGCTCTCTAGACGCTCACATTGCCCCCCGGCAGGGCCCTCAACTGTGGGCACCACCACCCCCTCCAGAACGGTGAGGCCAGCATGCGGAGGTGAGAGGCAGAGGGCCCAGCACACCCCTCCACACCCAGCTCTCACTGCCCTCCCGAGTTACACGCAGGGCCTGGCGTTGGAGCCCACCCAGCGGCCTCGCCATCTGGGGGCCGCTGGGGGTGCTGTGGCTTCGTCGTGGCTGAGGAACACAGACGGGGTGAACGCGCCCTGACCCAGTCACAAGCGGCTAGCACGACGGCGCCACTAACCTCATGAGGAGAGAAGGTCAGGATGAACTCGTGGTCCGTGTGGGGGCCGAGAACCCCTCTGCTGGGCAGGATGGAGAAGGCCGTCTCCCTGTCAGGGTGGCACTTGAGGCTGTCCAGGCTGAAGGCTTCTCCAGGCATTAGGGGCTGCAGGTTGGGCTTCATGATCTGCCAGTGGAAGGCCAGCTCCACGTGCCTGTGGGGGCAAGGGATCCCGGGCTGTGCCCCAACTTTGCCAGGACCCGACTTCCCATCCCCTGCCTGGCCCGGCCCCGCCCCACACCAGGAGCCAGCAGGGAAGGAGCCAGGAACAGGAAGAAGCCAGGTCAGCCTTGAGGCTCTCCCCGTGGAGCCTGGGGAGCGCCTGGGCCAGAGTCAGCCAGGGACCTCCTAGGAGAGCTTCCCTCTCCCCACTCAGTTGGGGTGTCTCCTACCATGTGAGGGCTCCAAAGGCTTGCCCTGTGAACCCCCCCGCCCTCCCCAGCTGTGGCCTGCCAGGACAGCTCTGTCCAGAAAGGCATGGGCCGAGTGGCTGACAGGGCAGGGATGGCAGCTGCACTGTGGTGGGAGGAGGGACCCTGGCGCCCAGCCGATGCTGAGGGCAGCAGATGGTAAGGCCGGGGGTCACCAGGAAGGCAGTGAGAACCGAACCACTGGCCACAATCCGTCTGATCTTGGAACTTGGATGGCTTCCCCCGACGGGCAGGGCAAGACCTCTCTGTACAGCCGTTCCCGGGCTAAGGACAGTCCGGGATGATCTGCGCGAGGCTGCCCAGTATGACTCCTGCAGCGACGGAAGTCTTGTGTATCTGCTCTGCCCAGTGTGGCTCCTCACGGGTGGCTGGTACTCAACATGTAACTGGCACCACCCAAAAAGCGAGTTTTATTTTAATTTTAATTGATTTCAATTTAAATGGCCGCCTGTGGCTCTCATGACAGGCAAATCCGGAACCTTCTGCCCACTGGGAACCCAGGCCAGGCTGGGGAGGGGAAAGGGTGCGTGCTGGAGGGTACAGCACCGCGGTCACTCACGTGGCATTTCTAATAATCAGCTGTTTTCTAGCTGTGGACTGAAGGTTCTCAGGCTCGAAGCGTATGAAGTACTGGGCTGTCAGGTCCGTGAGCTCTCCAGGCTCCGGCTGGCTTTCTTCCCCAGAAATATAGATCAGATCCAAGGCAACCAGCTGGCCGGTTCCTGACACAGGAAGGTGACAAAGTTTCACCAGGGTGCAATCAGGACTCTGTGGCCAAAGGCTGTCACGGGGTTTATGCTACTGTCCACACGCAACTGGCCTCGATCATGACCCCAGGAAGCGTACACAAGAGGGGAACGGGGCCATCAGCATGTAGATCCTGTCCTCACAGCTTCCCAGACTAAAAGGAGATGATTTTGATAACCTGGTACATAGTGGGTACTTAGTTAATGCTTGCTGGGTCAAACTGGCTGGAAGGATGGATGGATGGAAGGAAGGAAGGAAGGAAGGAAAGAAGGAGGGAAGGAAGGAGGGAAGGCAGGTAGGCAGGCAGCATCTTCAGGAAACTTCCGCAGGATGCCCCTTCTGGCTCTGCAGAACACGGGGTCCCTCTGGTCATTTGTGTGTAAGTCTCTGGCAATTCCCCACAGAAGATGGAGGTGAGTTTCAGAATGAAGCAGTCAAAGACTTCACCCCAGGCTCCCATCTGTCTCTCACTAGAAGGCTCCTTGGGATTGTCCCGCAGACCACACTGGCTCGGGCCTCCAACATCCGACCAGAGCACCAGGCCCCAGACGAGACCCCGGAGCCTGGCACCCCCACCATGCCCCCCGACACAGGCGGGCACAGCTGGGTCCGTGGCCCCCTGGGTCAGGGCGCCCGCCCGGCCCACCTGTGGTCACCAGCTCCTTTATCTGGCAGTTGTCACACACAACGATGAAGGTCTGCTCGGCCTTCTCCAGGCTCGTCGGGAGGAAGAGGACCTGGGAGGGAAGCGAGCCCTGTTATGTCCCATTACAGAGCTTCCCCTCCTCTCAGACGCACAGCCCTCCCCTTACTCTCCACCCCTGCTTCCTCCCTGATGCCTCCCTTCCCACCCCGCCACCCCAGACTAAGGTGGGCAGCATTTGAAGAAAAGGTTCACAGAGATGGAGATAGAAACAGCTCTTAAACAATGACACCATGTTCAACCGCATTCGTGAGAAAAGAACGGAAAGGAAAATCCTGCAGAAAAATATCTTAAGTCTTCACACTGGTAAAGAGCAGAAAGTTAGTCATCATAAATGCAATGAGATATCTTCGTTTTCTTCAGACTAATCTGGAGGGAAAGCGGGGGTCGGGCTGGAAGAGACGTGGGGGGAGGACACATCTGGTGGCCGAGAGCTGATCAGTGCTGAAGCTGGGTATCGTTAAAGTGTCCTCTCCATTTCTGCATGTGCCTTACAATCCATGATAATGGTTTTTCCTTTCTTTCTTTCTTTTTTTTTTTAACGGTTTTTAAGTTTGACAACACACGGTTGGCAAGTGTGAGGAAACAGGCCCCTCGTGTTTCCGCGTGGTGGGCCTGGGCACCGTGTCCTGGCCAGCAGAGACCCCGAGTCAGAAGCCTACTTCAAGGACCTGCTGGTGGACTCATCGTTGGACAGTGATGTTGCATCCACCGCAGTGGCCCGAGATCAGGAAAAACCCTCACATCCCTCAGCGGGAGCGGCTGACCTGAATTCCAGCTCGTTCACACCGGGGCAGAGTAGGCAGCTGTGAAAGTACAGCCTGCTCCGTAAGACAGAGCGGAACCTGCCCCTGGGTGGCTCAGCAGGTGCCGCGTCTCATTCTTGGTTTTGGCTCAGCCTGCGGTCTCCCAGTTGGGGAGATCGAGCCCCCTGTCAGGCTGATGGCGTGGAGCCTGCTTGGGATTCTCTCTCTCCTTCTCTGCCCCTCCCCTGCTTGTGTGCACGTTCTCTCTAAGTAGATACACATTTAGAAAACAAAGAACAGTGGGGGGGGCCAGTGATTTGTGGGAAGGAAAAGTGGAAACGCAAGAAAACACGCAGACACCACCCATCTCTGGAAGGGCGTTCAGAGAGCCGGGTGAGGCTGTGGACCTCTGGGTGCCTGAAGAACTACAGTGAAAAAGAGCATTTGACTGTTTATCTAGTTGCATCTTATGATTTTCAATCATGTGAATTTGTTTCTTCCTTGGAAATATGAGTAGGTTTTAAAACGAAACCCCAAACAGTCCAAAAAAAAAAATATACAAGGAATGCCAGGGGGGAACACCTCCTCTTGACTCCTCACTGCTCCCCTCTTCTTTCCCTGGGGACCACAGGGGGATGGGGTGAGGGGCATGTCCTGGCCCTGCCCCTACGAGACCCCGACCTGGCGTCACCCCACCCTGCCCTGAGAGCCAGGTTCCTACTGGGGATCAGATGGGCACAGATGGCTCGAGGCTGGAAAGCAGCTGATGGAGGCCCTCCTTTTCACCCCGCGCAGCAGCCCGCGGCCCGGTCCTCAGATCTCCTGCACACGGCGGGCGAGCTGTGTGCGGGCGATGCCGCGGGGTGCAGGGGGCTCAGCTGGCTAGGGTTCCAACTCTTGATTTCAGCTCAGGTCATGGTCTCTCGTTCGTGCGATGGAGCCCCACGTCGGGCTCGGCGATGACCGCACGGAGCCTGCTTAGGACCCCTCTCTCCCTCTCTCTCTGCCCCTCCCAGGTGCGCTCTTCCTCTCTTTCAAATAAATACACTTAAAAAAAAAACCCTATGCCTCAGACAAGCCCCAGACCCATTAACTCAGCACCTCAGGCCTGGGGCCCAGACAGCAGGGGACTGCAAGGCAGCTGCTTCGAAAGCCCTGTGGCCCTCGGCCTTCACGGCCTGATGCCGTGGCGCGGCCCAGAATCCGCTTCACCAGAGAGCAGACAGCCCTCACTCGTGAACCCCAGCGCCTCCTCCAGCCGACTAGCAAGGGCGGCCTCACAGGTGGCGGCACAGCGTCGGACTCCCGGACCAGGGAGTCAGGGAGGGCGAAGGTGTGGAGCAAAGGGGCAGGGAGGCACCCCCGGGTCCCCAGGCCGGGCTGGGCACCAGCGCGAAGCTGTGCTGAGCCTGAGGGACCCCGGAAGGAACAGATCGGAGTCGGGGAGCTTTACTCAGAGGTGCCGAAAAAGGCCCAGGGAAGGCAAGCCTTGCTGACCATGCGCCCGAGGAAGAAAGAGGAAAGAAGACAAAGCGGCTACACGCCCCCCACCCCCCGCCAGATCCGGGGGGGAGGCTGGCATCCAAGAGAGACCAGGATCAGAAGGAAGGCGGCCGAGGTGGAAGGACCCCAGGCCGACGGTGAGGGCAAGCGGCGTTGGGGCCGTGACGGAAACGCCAGGGCTGTAGGCACTTGCTTGGTTAGAGGGCTCACAAGTCAAGTCGTGCCACCCTACGCGTTTACACCCCCTGGGACGGGAGAGGGTGTTCCGGTCGTGGAAATGCAGAGGCAAACGGTCGTGCCAGCAGTGGGGAACCGCCACTGCGGACCGTCACCAGGAGAGACCACACGCCCGCCCGTCGGGGCCCTACCTCCAGACACACGGCCTGGCCCGGAGCCAGCTCAAACACGGAGGGCAGGACACCAAAGGGAGGCTGCTCCACGAAGCCCACGGTGGCCACAGCCTTAAAGAAAAGAGGACGTTACCCGAGAGTGTGGAAGAGACGCGAAACCCGGCAGTGAGGGGGACACGCTTTGCCCCCGCAACGTGCACTTTGCAATCTGAAGGCTCCGAGGGCCATCCTGCACCCCGCGGGGAAGACCGCGGGCTCCTGCGTCCAGCGGGCAGCAGGCCAGCTCCCGAGGCTCTCAGACGCCCTGGGAGGAGCTGTCCACGGGCAGGAGGCAGAAGGGATGCCACTCACAAGCGCTTCACCCCTGCGAGAAGTCCTCCTCCAGGAGACGGGCTCCCACAGCACTGGCCTTTCCCCACCACAGCGCCCGGGGTGGCCGGACCAGCGCACGTGTGTGCCTCGGCCCCAGTCCACGCCCAGCCCCAATCTGCCCCCATCCCAATCAGCCCGTCCCCAATAGGCCCCCATCCCCAATCACCCCAGCCCCCAGTCCGCCCCCTGCCCCAATCAGTCCCCGGACTCTGGCCCTGGAGTCGGGGGAGCAGCTATCTTGTCAGCAGGGCTGCAGCCCGGGTGCCGACAAAGGTACCGTGTCAGCTCGTGGGGATACAGCCCTCACCTACGGGACCCCACGCCTGGGACACAGCCCCCACCTATGGGACACCCCACACCGGGGACACAGTCCCCACCTATGGGGCCCCACATTGGGGACACAGCCCCCACCTACAGGGCCCTGCTCCAGGGACACAAGCCTCACGGATGGGACCCCACACTGGGGACACAGCCCCCCACTAATGGGACCTCGCTCCAGGGACACAGCCCCCCACTGATGGGACCCCGTTCCAGGGACACAGCCCCCCACTGATGGGACCCCACACTGGGGACACAATCCTCACTGAGAGGACCCTGCTCTGGGGACACAGCCCCCACCTACGGGACCCTGCAGGCAACAGAAGTGAGTGGCATGTGTGTCTTGTAGCACACGGTCCTCTGGATGTACCGCTTGCTGTCCAGAGCCACAGCCACTGGGAAAAGTCCCCTAGGAGAGTACAGCTGCCTGAGCAAGCCGGGGATGGGGCCCCACGCTGCCTGCCGGCCAGCTCTTCAGAGAGACGGGAAGTGCACATTTTGACGTGAAATCTCCTTAGTTTTCAATGTTGTCTCAAAAAACTGTTTTTAGGCCCCGTGCCAAATAAACATGCACACAGAGCTCAGTCCAGGAGCTGCCAGCTTGTGGCCCTGTATCCCTTAAAGCAGGTGCTACAGTGATGACTGACTGAGTGAATAGATGCAGTGACACGTGAGCCAGGCCTGGGAGGACACGGGGCGTGACATAGCCTGCCCAGGTGACATGGGTGTCAGCGCTGGACTCCGTACATTAGGCTCGCATGTGGGGACGCAGCTGGTGGGGGGGAGGTTACACAATTCTCCTCCCTGCGTGTTTCCAATCACAGGGGGCTCCAGTAAGCCCCTCTCAGACGGAGGGAGAGAGGGAGGGAGGGACTTCCTCTGCTCAGTCGCTCTGGCTCCAGGAAGCAGCCTGTGATCACTTACCCTGAAGCTTATGGGCGGCCAGCTCTTTTTAGCCATGATGCAGAACTTGCCGGCACTGAAGCCCACGTTTTTGCAGAGGAACCTGGAGACCTTCATTCCCCCAATGAGGCAGTAGCCACAGTCCAACACCGGTGACACTGGAGCCACGGGAAAAGATGCACACGAGAAATGACACGTGTCCTGGACACAGGCCCCCCTGCTCTTGATCGCCCGAGGCCCCGCCGGAGCTCAGAGCAGCTGCGGCCCGGTACCCGGAGCAGAGGATGAATGGGGACCCGCACCGACCGCTGCTCCCGCACAGCAGCCACTGGCCTCCGTGCGCCGCCGGCTAGAACGACAGGACTCTGGGCCTGCTGTGGACTCAGGCCTTGGCCAGGGCCTCCCAGCACAGGCCTGGGACTCGCAGTGGGAGCCCGAACTTCCAGGCTGTGCCTGGCTGAGGAGGGAGCCCAGCCAAAGCCAGCTTTCCCAAGGAGGCCACCTTCTGCCGGGTACCCCGGGCACCCCTTCCTCGCCTCGGCGCAGTGCAGGCCCCAGGGGTGTCCGCGAAGCCCGTGCTGGAGCCAGCTGGGCTGCTGGACGTGTCTCCTCGTGTCAGAGTCAGGGTCAGGGTCAGGGCCCACCGGGAAGTAGGCCAGCCAGGGCCCGACACCAGGGAGGTCTGCACGGAAGCCACTGGCAGGCCTCTCCTTCGGACCCAGAAGCCCCTGCCCGAAGGGACCAAGGACCAAGGCGTGTGGCGCCAGGCCCGAGGGCGGGCAGTCTGCTGGAGCCCGCGCACTCACGCGTCAGCATGGGGGGCGGCCTGCGGGCCTGCAGCGGGATCAGGAGCGGGTGGGCTGACTGCGTCTCCACCAAAATGAAATCGTCGAAGTCCCCGAGGCAGTCGGGGAGAAACTGCACAGTGTACTGGCAGGCCAGGCCAGGGGCCACCATGCCGCCTGCTCCCGGGAACATCCCTGTGCATGAAGAAGGGGCACATGAGGAGCTGGGGGCCACCAGGGCCCGCACACAAGCGCTACAGGCGGCGCCCAGAGGCCACGGGCCGTGCCCACCACGGCCGGGGGGGCTCAGGAGTGGATGCCGTCAGGGCCAAGGCCGTGGTGGTAGAAGAAGGGCATTCAAGGGGGGCGGGGAGTGGGCAGGGGGGGTCCAGGGGACAAAGCCAGGGCCCGGGGCGGGGGGCAGGGGACAAAGTCAGGGCCTGGGGCGGGGGGCAGGGGGTCCAGGGGACAAAGCCAGGGCCTGGGGCGGGGGGCAGGGGGTCCAGGGGACAAAGCCAGGGCCCGGGGAGGGGGGCGGGGGGTAGGCGGGGCAGGGAGGGACGTGGTCCATCTGAACACTCAGGTGAGGCCACGCCTGGCCTGACTGGCTCAGAACTTGTTCTGTGGGTGGCAGAGAGCCATATGAGCTGAGTGTGGGGCGGGAGGGGAATGACACGCTCAGGCCACTCTTGGGACTGAGAACACCGCGTCAGGGAAGAAGGCAGGCCAGCTGGGGAGCCACCGCAACAGCCTGACTGGACGCACTGGCAGAACGGAGGGTGAGCAGAGGGCAGGCCTGAGCCCGGGGGGGTGAGTGGCAGGTCCCAGAGACCCCGTCCGCGGGCCACGGTCCCCAGGGACCACAGGAAACGCGGGCCCAGGCTCACCGGAGGGCCACGCGGCCTGCGCCAGAGCAAGCCCCACACACGACTTTGAGGCGGTCCAGACCCCGGCCAGCGGACTCACCCAGTCCCAGCGCGAAGTAGGGCGTGGACGGCGGGAGCACCCGCAGGTGGCGGCCAGCTGCCGTCGTGTTCTGCAGCGAGATCACCATCTGCCCAGAAGGAAGGGGAGCGTTTCAGACAGCAGCACGTGGACTAGAGACGTGAGGCCCGGGTGGACCACACATCCGGTCAGCGGGGAGAGGTACAGAGGCGGGCTATAGGCACACGGGGCTTCCCTTTGCCCCTCTATCCACCTTTGACTGCATTTGGGGATAAATACAATACAAGGTGAACACGAAGATGGGGATAGGTCTGCCTCATGCTTTGCCCTCACAACAGCTACTGTTTATTATCTGCCATGTGCCTACCAACCCACAATAACCAGCAAAAGGTGGGAGTTCTCTCTCTGTCACCCTGAAGAAGGTGAAGTTCAAAGACGCTCCCTTAACCGGTAGGTAAGAGTTTTGAGATCTGAGCCCAGGACAGATGTCATTCCCACCTGGCCTCTTGCTGACTTTCCCCCACATACACCCCTGTGGCCACTGCTCCCCGTGGGCACAGTGCAGAGAGCTCTGGGCCCCTGGATGGTAAGGCCGAAACAGGGCCTCCCTCCACCTCTCAACCCATCCAGCCTTCTCTTCTCCGTCTCTCAGACTGGGAGACCCCCGGGGGCAAGGCCTAAAATTCACACACTGCTAACCCCACCCCCACCCCACCCCAGCACTGTGCCCAGCACGGAAGAGGAGCTCAGTACACAAACACATCTTTTGCTTCTATTTTGTGAAATAGTACACTGGGGGGGGGGGGGGGGATGTATAAACTGCAACGTGACAAAGACTATGTTTCCATCACCCACCTTAAGAATAAATCATTAAAAATACATGGGGCGCCTGCGGGACTCAGTCGGTTAAGAGTCTGACTTTGGCTCAGGTCATGATCTCATGGTTCGTGGTTTTGAGCCCCACGTCGGGCTCTGTGCCGACAGCTCAGAGCCCAGAGCTGCTTTGGATTCTGTGACTCCCTCTCTCTTTCTGCCCCTCCTCTGCTCACGCTGTCTCTCTCTCTCTCTCTCTCAGAAATAAATAAAACATTAAAAAAATTTTTAATTAAAAAAATAAATCATTATGGGGCACCTGGGTGGCTTAGTCGGTTAAGCGTCCGACTTTCGCTTAGGTCATGATCTCGCGGTTCGTGGGTTCGAGCCCCGCGTCGGGCTCTGTGCTGACTGCCAGCTCGGAGCCTGGAGCCTGTTTCAGAGTCTGTGACTCCCTCTCCCTTTGACCCTCCCCTGCTCACGCTCCCTCTCTCTCTCTCTCTCCTAGAAATAAATAAAACGTTAAAAAAATTAAGAAAATATATAAAAGTAAAAATCTCACTGGTGAAGACAAATATATAGTAAAAGTAGGAGAAGGGTAAAAGACAAAAGTAGCAAACACAACTACAATAATTAGTTAACAAATACACAAAATAAAAAGATGTAAAATATGACATCAAAAACATAAAATAGGGGTGCCTGGGTGGCTTAGTCGGCTAAGCGTCCGACTTTCACTTAGGTCATGATCTCACGGTTCGTGGGTTCGAGCCCCGCGTCAGGCTCTGTGCAGACTGCCAGCTCAGAGCCTGGAGCCTGTTTCAGTCTGTGACTCCCTCTCTCTCTGAACCTCCCCTACTCACGCTGTCTCTTTTTCTCTGTCTCTCCTAGAAATAAATAAAATGTTAAAAAATGTGGGGGCAACTGGGTAGCTTAATCAGTTAAGCATCTGACTCTTTGATTTTGGCTCAGGCCATAAACTCTCAGTTTGTGAGATTGAGGCTCACATCAGGCTCCATACTGACAGCATGGAGCCTGCTTGGGATCTTCTCTCTCCCTCTCTCTGTGCTCCTTCCCTGCTCATACTCTCTCTCTTTCTCAAAATAAATAAACCCTAAAATTTTTTTTTTAATAAAAAAACATAAAAACATGGAAGGGGGAGTAAAAAGTAGAGGCTTTAGAATATGTAAAAATTTGGGGCGCCTGGGTGGCTTAGTCGGTTAAGCATCCGACTTTCGCTTAGGTCATATTCTCGCAGTTCGTGGGTTCGAGCCCCGTGTCGGGCTCTGTGCTGACTGCCAGCTCAGAGCCTGGAGCCTGTTTCAGAGTCTGTGACTCCCTCTCTCTCTGACCCTCCCCTGCTCACGCTGTCTCTCTCTCTCTCCTAGAAATAAATAAAACATTTAAAAAATAAATAAATAAATCATTAAAAATACATGGGGCGCCTGGGTGGCTCAGTCGGTTAGCGTCCAACCTTGGCTCAGGTCATGATCTCATAGTTCATGGCTTCGAGCCCAGAGCTGGGCTCTGTGCTGACATGACAGCTCAGAGCCTGGAAGCTGCTTCGGATTCTGTGTCTCCCTCTCTCTCTGCCCCTCCCCTGCTCATGCTCTGTCTCCCTCTCTCTCAAAAATAAACAAACATTAAAAAAACAACAACCGTAAGACAGCCTTGCTGCAGCCGCACAAGGCGATGCGCTGACCAGTGAAGGCAGGAGCCAGCAGTTTACGGGGCCCCTGAGGGGAAGTGCCCACTGCACTTAATGGCAGTCGGCTCAGTAACACATCCTCAGATTGGCTCTTCCTCCTGGCACCCCCTTTCCTCACTCATCTCTGAGATGCGGATGGCAGCACAGAGTGACAGGCCTCAGGCTCTGCAGGGGGGTGGGGGGGGAAGGGGGAGGCCAGGCTGTGACAGTTGGCACCGGAAGAGCCCTAAAGCAGCAGACCCTTAGGATGCAAGTCTGCAGGTGGCTTTCCCACCAGTCAGCCGGCAATCAGGACTCCAGCTGCTGGGAAGGAGGGTGTGCCGAGCCCCGGCATGCAGGGCGCCACGATTTCCACGCCCTTCGGCCACAGCCGGCTGCAACAAGGTGCAGGTGGACGTCAGGCACTGACACGTGGCGTAGCTACTGGGCTTGCAAGGTCCGGGACGGCGATCATTCATCGGCCCGAAGAGGGGCTGGCTTTCCCGAACAGCACCGGAAGCCCCAGAGGGAAAATGACAGGCTCAGAGCAGCGACCTGCCCACTGAAGGGCCACCGTGAAGACATTCCGTGCATTCCTGGGTTACACAGTTTCCTCCCGGTGCCTCTGTGTGTGTGTGTGTGTGTGCGCGTGCGCGCGTACACACACTTCTTGCTTGATTTGGTTTGCCATTTTTCACCTAGTATTTCTGCACCTGTGTTCTTTCTCTTTTTTCTGTCAAATGTCTTTTTTCAGTTAGCAAAATACTGAAAGGAAACAAAAGAGCAAGTCTGTGAAACTATAACCCCCTGGCTTACAAGGCACAGGTCTCTATTCCCACCACAACCCTTCAGCCTTCCACTCACAGCCTGGGTCCTGTCTGCCCCACGTCAGGACAGAGACGCTCTCTCGAGGCTCCCGGGGGCTGGGAGTGTACCTACGCTCTAAAGCAAGTCCGGTCTGTCTTTCATTGTCACGGCTCCTTATCTGGCTTTGGGGTCAGTGTAACATTAGGCTCTGTCTTAGTCCGTTTGGGCTCCTCTACAACGTACTATTAACTGGTTGGCTTATAAACAACAGAAATCTATTTCTCACAGTTCTGGAGGCTGACAAGTCCAAGATCAAGGTGCCATCATGGTCACGTTTTGGTGAGGGCCCTCTTCCCAACTCAGAGCTGGTGCCTTCTCACCGTGTCCTCAAAGTAGTGGAAGGGGCGAGGGATCGCTCTAGAACCTCTTTTAGAGAAGCACTAATCCTGGAGTGCCTGGGGGGCTCAGTCGGTGGTTGAGGTCTGACTCTTGATTTCACCTCAGGTCATGATCTCGTGGTTTGTGAGATGGAGCCCCACATCAGGCTCTGTGCTGACAGTGCAGAGCCTGCTTGGGATTCTCTCTCTCCGTCTCTCTCTGCCCCTCCCCCACTTGCTCGTGGATACACTTAGGATCCAGCACATGCTCTCTCTCTCTCAAAACAAACTTAAAGAAAAAAAAAAAAACACTAATCCCATTCATGAAGCCCCACCCTCATGACCTAAGCACCTGCCAAAGGCCCTACCTTCTAATAACATCATCTTTGAAGGTTTGGATTTCAACATATAAATTCTGCGAGCACACAAACATTCTGATCATAGCGGGCTCACCACCCAATAATGAGGCTGTTCTTGTTCTAGTCTCTGAAACAGTTTATAAGTAATAGGGATCGGCTTAAATGGCCAGCAGTGTACACCTGTCAAATGATTGCTTAGCGTTTCTTTTGCTAGAAAATTGGTTTTTTTGTTGTTTTGTTTTAGTTATTTTCCTCAAGGCTGGACAGCCAGCTAGGTAAAGAGTCAAGTGTGATATTGAGTGGTAATTTTTTATTTCTTTCATCCTATGTATTAATTAGAATTCTTCTGTAACAGGGGCACTTGGCTGGCTCAGTTGGTGGAGCATGTGATTCTTGATCTCAGGGTTGTGAGTTTAAGTCCCACACCGAGTATGGAAATTACATTAAAATTAAAAATAAGATTTTAAATTAACTTAGAATCCTTCTGTAAGGATTCTACGAGTCGTCCCTTCTCTATTTATTTATTCAGATGTTTACTAATTCAGTATGAATTCATGGACATTTATTTTATTCTTTGGGTTACAATCTAAACACCGTTATCATTTACTTTGTCATTTGAAATGTTTCAACTTTGGTCATTGAGAGCTCTGTGTCGTTTTGAAACGTCCCCTCTTCCTCTCCCTCTTTTTTCTTTCTCCCATCACTTCCTTACACTTTATGGCACCACAAGATATCCAAGGTTCACATACTTGCCCTGTCTCGGCCCTGGAATCAACTAATTTACCAAGGAGCCCTAGTGCCTTTTATTGGAGAATGGTACTTAGAAACCAAGATGTGGACACTAGGTGTGCTAAGTGCTGCTAGGATGTCACTATTTCTGTTCCGCTCAGTAGATACAGCTGGGAAATACATGCAAGTGTACTAACGTATGCATTCACACACATCTATATTTATTCTTGTACTTATCCATCTGTGTGTATGTGTAATACATATACAGATTTTGAAACCACAAATCCATATTTATATCTCCGACTACAAATCACCATAGAGTTGATCCTAGCATTCCCTT